CTCTCTCTCTCTCTCTCTCTCTCTCTCTCTCTCTCTCTCTCTCTCTCTCTCCCTCTCTCTCCCCCCTTCACTTTCAGAGAGTGAATGTCTGTAATCAAAAGGCTTAACACACCAAACCTAATAAATATAGAACATGTGTATTTTGTGTACATAGTAACAAGCAACTCAAAATTATGTGCATTAATTGGATAGTCTGTCCAAAAAAAGTGTCAGATTTTGGCAAATACGTTTATTACAAATATATTTTTTGGAGACCAAGTTGTTTTTAAGTGCTAACCATAATGATCAGTATTTATTGGGCTGCACCAACAGCAAAGTCATTCTTTCGTTTATGTCTTTCTATTTTTGTTTGACGAACTGTTATGCTCATAGTCCGGGTGGGCTATCAGCCGCTCCCCTTATATTAAGGACTTGTCCACCTTTGGGTGTTGGATGATAAGGGTCCTTATTTAAGTCTTTTCTCTTATTTGTCAATTTCTGTTACATTCTGTCTTGCAGTATCGGCGTCTACAATTAGGTATTTTGTCGAAGGGCGCAGGAGAGCCGAGTTCGATTCCCTAGGGGAGAATTTCCATCGCGTATCTCATCTCAGTCTTTCTGTTGAGATGTTGTATTGTAATCCTCTCAGTCCGGATTAGACATAACAGGCAGGGTCGAAGCCGTTTGTACGTGATCTAAACTGTGTCGATTTTTGTGTTGTTGTTTTTTTAAAATATTATTGTTGTTGTTGGTTGTTGTGTGTTTGTTTGTTTGTTTGTTTGTTTGTTGTTTTGTTTTTTTTGGGGGGGGGGTTACAGTGGGGCGTAAAAAACACCTATCATAAAGAAAAAAAATATTCAGCAGTTGCACCTTGAATATTCCCTTATCAGGCCTCCCGCCTGTGTCGTATTCACGATATTACTCCCCTCCCTTTTCTCCAGTCCCGAAATGTCTCGCCTCTGCTGACAGTAATAATAATAATAATAGATAGCATTTGTATAGCGCATATCCCCGCTCAACAGCAGGCTCTATGCGCTTTACACTATATTATTACCCCAGCAGACCATAGAACACTCCGAAACATTCTCAGCT